CGATTCACCCTTCCGCTACAAGTCAAGACAATTATTTACCCACAATATTTTTGGCAGACCGTATAATATAATAAGTGATGCAGGAATACCATCTTGAAAGGAATATCAAAAGGACGTCTGGATTCGCTGATTGTTTGCTTGGTGTGTTTGGAAGAGCAAACAACAAATTTCCTGTACAATCTACCCACGCACCCACCCACACATTCTCTTTTTTTGTTTTTCCGTAATATGTATTCTTATTATCATTCAATACTAGAACAATACAAATAATTCTTCAAAATATAATTCTTTTTCATCATAGTAACATAATTCTATTAATTTAATGCAAGTACAATTCCCAAAATGCGAAAGATTTTTTGGAATGAAAACAGTTATAAAATGAAACAAATTATAATCCCGTCCCTTACTTACCAACCCCAAACAAAACACCACCCCGCACATCCAAAATAGCACACACACCCACTTCCCAGAGCAATGAGTTCATCTTCACGCACACTCACAACCACCATGGCTGGAAACCAAAATGTTAAAGAAGAGAAAAAGCAAGGCTATAGACCTACATTACGCTTCGATATTTTTTCTGCTTCATTCGAATTTCATGAATGTTTTCTTAAACACTGTGGGGCAATTATCGTTGAGTTAAAGTTCCTAATCAGGTGGGCTGAATGTCATACAGACCACCTTATGTTTTAAATCGCCTTTATTATTATTCTTTATTCTTTTTTTTAATTTTTTATTTAGACCCACTTTTTTGTTTGCAAGATAAGTTAAAAATGGCTCAATCAAATGCCTTGAAATTTGGTACAAATATGTATAGGCATATAGAGAAAACATGGTCAGGTTTTCAACCTTGACCTTCACTGATGACGTCATCTAGGCGTCATTTTGTGAATATTAACTCATGATTATATCTTCATAACCAAAAGTTATTTGTCATTCATATTTATCATGATCAAGGTCAATATCCGTCTGGTCTATTTCAGGTAAAAAAAAAAAACGCGCGTGCGCGTACGTCCGCGCGCAAAATTTTAAAATGCTCAAAATCGTCTTAAATTTTGTTTGCATACGTTTCAGGGGGGTGTTTCACAAAGATCCTAAGTTGAACTTAACTCTAAGTTGGACTTAAAACTTATGGACAGCCATTGGAGTCTTTAAATGAAATATATTCAAAAGCAGAAATTCAAGTATTTTAGACTTTTTATTAATTCAACATCCAGAACATGAAATCTCCTTGATGATAGACAATATGAATGATTTGAATAAACAATTAATGCCTTTCAAAATAACTTTTACAAAATATTTTCAAAGATGCTAATGGCTTTCCATAATTTTTAAGTCCAACTTAGAGATAAGTTCAACTTAGGATCTTTGTGAAACACCCCCCTAGGTCCTTTTAAGCATTTTATAAAAAATCGCGCACACGCGCATGCGCGCGCGTTTTTGCGCGTAACACCATTACATAACATAGAATCACCATTTTTTCTTCATGATATTTCCCATATTTTTTTCGAACAATATGATACCATGTTTATCTCTTTATGACCATTGAGAACAAGATGAGCGTCCATTCAAGATAAATGTCCGTGCGCGCGAGCTCTTGTAATACATAGCATTTATGGGCAAAACCATGCCTATACAAATTCCATTATAGCTCTTTGGGATGGAACTGGACCCCAATTTTTTTCTTCATATTTTGATAGAGAATGAGTCGGAAATATGATTGATTTTCTCATTTGGCTATTAAAAATATTCTGACATCATCATAATGGCCTTCGAACTAAAAATACGAATTTGCATATTATGAAGTCAGCATATTTATGGAAAATTGATTGTATCTCTGTAAATATTACTTGATTTTCTTCGAAATTTCGATATCTTGTAGCTAAGACGATTTTCTACAAGCTCAGTATTCATCATTTTTCATTTTGATGACGTTATCATAGTGAAAATTTCGATTAAAGGCCTCATGTCAGAAATTTCATAATTTGCGTGTTATGCCTATAGAAGGTGAATTTCGTTCACGTCATGAATCTAAATGATATTGTTTTTTAAGAATGTTTAAGCATTATCTCGCTTTTTTTTGCTCTATTTTGTCTCAAATTTTAGTTGACCAGCCCACCTATACTTGTTCCAAACAAGTATTACATGTCTAGTTTTAGTATTCATTTCCTTAGGTGTAGATACTAATAAAGAAACACATGTATCAAAACCATAATAAAACTAAACTCGAATGTACAAATTCAAAACATAATCAAATAGTTACTGGAAAACCAAAGCCTGTCACACCCTTAAAGGGATACGGTAACTTTGTCTGAGATCCTTAAAACAAAATCCTTGATTTAGCTCATGCTGCAGTCATAATTATAAACATTTAGGTCATTAAGGAATTCCATGACTTTTACAAGCCGATTGCCTATTTAATTATCAAGATATTTATAATTGTGTTTTCATTTTGTGTTTTCGTAACGGTTTTCGAACCACTACAGTCTATTGGGAAAAATAAGTATGGTAAAACCGGTGACTCAAAAGTTTTTAATCTTTTGAGGCACTCCATGATCATTTTGAAGCGCAGTTTTTTTTAGGTCTTCAATATACACCATATCACAGACACTGATAACACATAGGTTCATGCATCTCAGATTAAATATGGTTGAACGATGCTTTTAACATCCCCCCCAAAAAAAAATAAAAAAAAATAAAAATAAAAAAAAAAAAAAAAAAAAAAATAAATAAATAACATGTTTACATTTTTAACAGAAAATTTGGAATTTTCTAGATTCGCTAGTGTAGTAGATTTAAGTGATTGAATTGTGGGAAAAGTACTCAGATGCAATGACAAGTGATTAATGTTAAATCCCCCTCCCCCCCCCCCCGAATCGTCGTTTAAAGCAGTTTATTTTCTGTCTAGGAAAATACAAAGGTTTCCGCTTGTGGAGTGTTATACTGCCCAGGCCACTTTATCACATGATACTATTTGCGTCACAATGCCCACAGGACCGACTCACTAAGCAAGAGATATGTATTCTTTTGTTTGGTTGATAAGCTCGACTAGTTATTTTTATTTTCCTCTGGTTTCATTTTTGGACCACATGATCCAGCTGACTCAGTGCATTATGTACCTGCTCAAAGCCATGTTACCCATATGTTGACATACAGACTCACGCAGCCTATGTCTTTCATTTAATATGGGTTATTCGTCACTTCTACATGGACATGTGATCGAACTAAGCACATAGTAAGTACAAAGGGAAGCTGCATTAGATTGATTTCTAGACCATTTTCTTCGACACACTGCATGTTTTGGCATCTGTCACGCCGGATCCATGACCTAGAGACAAATTATCCTCCTATCTTGGGGAATACATTATAAACGCTTTTATAACATGTTCTAGAAGAGACCTCTCATGTCATTTGTTGCCAGTTACTTGTATTTGAGATGTGTAAGATTATGTGTAAATCCTTTTAGCTCGGCTATAATTGGATAAATATATCTGAGGAGAGGTTTGGTTTATCCAAGAGATAGCCGCTATATAGTGTGTCCCAGAAAAATATGTATCACATGAGTTGCATCAAAATAAAGAGGGGGATCTAAGCTTTACAAATATGTGTCATCTATTAATTATAATTGCGATTAAGTTATGATAAAACATCGATTATTCACGGTTTCGTTTTTTTCTGGGACGCACTGTATAAGCTCCTCGGAATGTATTACATACAATCCATGTATATATTACAGAAACCCTTATCCTAAGTATATATCATAAACGATTCGACTAAATGTTATTAATATTTTGAGAAGGATGAAAAGGTGGACTTTACCCGCATTAGCATGTCTTAAGTTTATTAAGTCTATACCTGGGCAAGGATAAGGCATTTTGGCTCTGTTAATGTACGGAATATCATCTTGTTCGAAGCGGTTCCCCAATAATCCACGGCAGAAAATTGCACTTTGCATTTAATGAACATTAAAAAAGGTCTTTCCGTTGAAGATTTGTTGTTGTTGTTGTTGTTGAACATGGTAACAATTCGCGATCTCATGTCATTAGAGAACAATTTCAACATTCGGACAATGTTGGGCGATTTGCATATTAACCTCTAGATCCCAATGTACCATAATCAGGCGCGTACGCAGGGGGGGGGGGGGGGGTGGGTTTTAAACCACCCCTTGAGTTTTTTATGTGTATGTTTTGTATATGTTTATGGGGAATCCCCCCCTTTGAGTTTGTTGTTTTAAAAAAAAAATGATAAAAATAAAAAAATAAAAATAAATAAATTTAAATTATACCAATGGCTGACCTAAAAAAGGTGACCTACCCCCCCCCAACGGTACAAAATGTCAAATTTTCAAATTTCGATACACACACACACACAAAAAAAAAAAATCCTCTTACCCCCCCCCCCCCCCCCCTCCCCCCCCCCCCCGCTTATTTAGCGGCTGGCTGAGTCGTTGTTATTACAGTGTCCTCTTACATTTTCGTAATTATTGGGTTGAACGCGGGTTACAGTAACATATTTCCTCTCCGACGTAAATTTCACGTGAATGAAGAACATGATTCATCTCCAGTCAGCCTCTTAATATTCACGTGAATTTCACGCAGATATTTTGACTAAAACTATCACTAACGCTTCACGTGTTTCTGTGACGCGATTCTAAAACTTGTAAAGAATGTGATAATTTCTTTTATGAAGATGTAATTTCATAACCAAACAAAAACGGGAGTATAAGGTTTACAAACCATGGTCGTAATTTAGTGTACATGTGATTTATAAGTGACCTAGGGTACGTTTATACTCAGCTTTTTCTGGCCAGAATGAGGCATTTGTTACGCGTTTAGTTCAAAACACGGTTGCGTCCTTACTCATTTTTGTAGAATCACAGAAAAACGGCGATCGTAATCGCCGATCCTAAACTCACAAAAAGGTGCGTTTTGGATCGGCGATTCTGGGGAAGCATAAACGCATAATCATTTTTAAACGCGTTTAAATGTGGTCAACATAGCATGCGCAGTGCAGACTCTGCACTGCACTTCTCTGGCTCCTCCAGGTATGATCCTTGCTCTGAGCCAGAATCATGCCTGGATGAGCCAGAGAAGTGAGCCTGAATCATGCCTGGAGGAGCCAGAGAAGTGAGCATAAACAGTACACCGTGGAACTGCGATTCGATAAGTGTTTACGATGAGCGTTTAAAATCGCTCATTCTGCCTTCAAAATTGAGCATAAACGTACACCTAGTGCAAGAAACGTGTTTACACAATCACGTAAATGTCAAGTGTTTGAAGAACGTAAATCTGTTTAAGTCGATACCTTGATATTGACGTAATTTTTACGTTAATTTGTTTATTGGGTTTCCACCCAATTTTAAATATGTACCTCACCACTGACTGACTTTGCGAAAATGTTTATATGTTCATTTTTCTAGGTTTTTTGGTGATAACATAATGTCAGCTTCCAGTTGTCACTAGGAATGTGGCAGAAGAATGAAAGATACAGCGTGAAGTGAAAAATGAAATAACAGATTGTGATCGATTCATGAACTTGTACAGTACCTCAGGAGCAAGGAAAGACCCCCCCCAAAAAAAAAGGGCTTCGCCAAAGCTCTGATCAACAGAGATAGTATGCAGTGGCTTAATGAGCAAAAACTTTTTTGGGGGCAGAAGAAAAACAAAACCGGAAAATCATGGCATTTCAGCAACATTTTTAAATCAACATGGTATCAATTTATGAATAAACCACTTTTGAATTTTCCCAAGCCCCCCCATCAGTACAGTGTTGATGATTTGCAGAGTGCACTAAGCAGTGCTGCGCAGAATGGACAACTTGACCTCATCCAAGAACTGATCGGTAGAGGAGCCGAGGTGAACAAAGTTGATAATGACGGTAGAACTGCATTACAGCTAGCTGCACTGAATGGTCATCTTGATGTCACTAAATACTTGATTAGCCGAGGAGCCGAGGTGAATAGCGGCGGAAATGATGGTGTGAATCCGTTATGTATAGCTGCAGGGACTGGTCATCTGGATATAACCACATTTCTGATCAGTCAAGGAGCCGAAGTTAATAACGGCGGAAATGAGAGTTTGACCCCATTACATCTAGCTGCAGAAAATAATCATCTTGATGTGATCAAATATCTCATCAGTCAAGGAGCCGAGGTAAATAACGGCGGAAATGAGAGTTTGACCCCATTACATCTAGCTGCAGGAAATGATCATCTTGATGTGATCAAATATCTCATCAGTCAAGGAGCTGGAGTGAATAAAGATGATATTAATGGTTCGACCCCATTACATCTAGCTGCTTATGGTGGTAATCTTGATGTCACCACATTTCTGATCAGTCAAGGAGCCGAGGTTAATAACAGCAAAAATGGGGGTATGACCCCATTACATGAAGCTGCACGGAATGGTATTCTTGATGTCACCAACTTTCTGATAAGTCAAGGAGCTGAAGTGAATAAAGATGATAATGAGGGTTTTACCCCATTACATCTAGCTGCTTATTGTGGTTATTTTGATGTCACCAAATCTCTCATCAGTCAAGGAGCTGAGGTGAATAACGTTGGTAAAGATGGTTTTACCCCATTACGACTAGCTGCATGTAATGGTCATCTTGATGTCACCAAATGGCTGATAAATCGAGGAGCTGAAGTGAATACAGGTGATAGTGTGGGTTGGACTGCATTACATTTAGCCGCTTTTAATGGTCATCCTGATGTGACCAAAGAACTAATCAATCAATGTGCTGACTTTAACCACACCAATTATGATGGTTGGACTGCATTACATGCAGCTGCTAATGAAGGACATCTAGATGTTGTCACAGAATTAATCAGTCAAGGAGCTGATGTTGATAAGGCTAGTGACAACGGATGGTCAGCATTATATCTTGCTGCAGCTGCTGGTCGTGTTCGTGTTTCAAGTGCTTTGCTTAGTCAGCAAGCTGAGCTGGCCACATCAAATATAATTCATTGGACGGAGTTTCATTCCGCTGCAGAGAGAGGCGACCTTGATGCCATGAAAGATCATGTCAGTCAAGGAGCCAAGCTGAATAAAGCTGGTTCTTTTGGTTGGACAGCCTTACACATTGCAGCAAGTAATGGCCATCTTAATATGACAAAATATTTGCTGAGTAAAGGAGCAGATGTGAATTCTAGCAATGACTTTGGTAGGTGTGCCTTGCATAGTGCCGCAGAGAAAGGGAACTTGGATGTCGTGGAATATCTGATCAGTGAAGGGGCCGATATGAATAAGGGAAATGACCGTGGATTGACTGCCCTACATTTTGCATCATCGTCTGGCCATTTAGATATCGTCAAATCCCTCATCGGCAGAGGGGTTGAGGCAGATATTTGCAATGCATATGGAACTACTGCTCTCCATTATGCTTTATTTAATCGTCGGATCGACATTACGAAGTATCTGCTTAGCCAAGGCTCTGAACTGATTAAGAGAAGCGTTCGGAACTCCGTCATCTTACAATTTGATGGACAGTATGGTCATTATGATGTTGTGCGATGTGTGCAGAGTCGTGTAGGTCACGCAGTTAGCAGATTCAGGGATTCTTTCACTGTCTTTAGAGGTACTCCAGAAAGTGATCTTGGTAGAACCAAATATCAAGATGGCGATGAGGATAAGACACTTAAAGGGGGAATGGTTATTGTGAAAATGACACGTATATCGTCTGATCTTAACAGTCATGAAGATCTTCTTGTAAGTGAAGGAGGCAGAACAGCTGGTAGCACATCATTACAATATGCTACAGAAGGTGGCTGTCTTGCAGTTGTTCGGTATCTGATTACTCAAGGAGCTGAAGTGAACGAAAGCAACAATGCTGGCTGGACTGCTCTTCATGTTGCTGCGCAAGTGGGTCGTCTTTTTATTGTAGATTATCTACTTGAACAGGGAGCTGAAGTAAACAAAGGAGACTTCGATGATATCTCGCCTTTGCATGTTGCTGCATTTGTTGGCCATTGTGATGTTACCGAGCATTTGGTTAGGCGAGGAGCAGAGGTCAACGGCGCCACCAATGAGAAAGGTTCAACAGCCCTACATGTCGGAGTGCAGAACGGGCATCTTGATATCACAACATTTTTGCTCAACCACGGAGCCGAAATTGATGCGACAGACAATGATGGTTGGACTCCCTTGCATATTGCTGCTCAGAACGGTCACATCGATATCATGAGGTGTCTACTTCAGCAACTTGCAGATGTTAACAAGGTTACCAAGAAGGGATCATCTGCATTGCATTTGTCTGCTGCAAATGGACATACCGATGTCACAAGATATCTATTAGAGCACGGAGCTGGAGTAAATCTGAGTAAACCTGATCAGACTGCGTTGCAACTCGCCGCAGAACAAGACCAAGTTCATGGAGCAAGTTCAGATGCGTGGTGTGCTGAAGGGCAGAAACACCCTTTCCCCCCAAATGGCCATGCAGACACTGAGGCTTTAACAGAAGATGAGAAGAAGGTATTTAATTTAGTATTCCTATAGGTTTCATATTGAAAAATATCCTACTGTTTACCCACAATCTTGCAAGTATTAAAATCAGTCTTTACTAATCCCCTTCTACTACTATTACATAGATTGTCTAAATTATGAAAAAGGTTGAAATGATTCCACAAGGACTTCTTAAAACTTATCTTGTACAAGAACATATACAAGTAAGTCAAACCTCTTTTAGTGGCCACCTCTCTATAAAAGCCACCTGTGTATCGTGGCCGTTCATTTTGCCTCCCTCGAGAAAAAAATATATGTGTTTGAGAACCTTTCTAGAAAGGCCATGTGTCTACAGGGACAACTATTTTCGTTTTCCATGGGTAACCTTAACATACAGGTTTGACTGTATAATGTTTACTTAAATACTAATATCTGTATATGTGTAAGTATATGTGATGATACAAGCAATGGAAAACTAGAAAAGAACCTACTTCATAAAAAGCTGTTGTTAGTAGATTCTTATTTCTTGAGGCTGGTGTTTTACACAGGTTGTTGGACAACATGCTGAGAAAGGCTGCACAGCAGTTCATTTAGCCACGCGGAATGGCAACACCTCCATCATCGAGACATTAGTTTCCCATGGCGCTGATCTCAACATCCAGTCCATCGACGGAGAGACCTGTCTTCACGAAGCCATCAGACTTTGTGGTAGGAAGGACATCAACGTTGAAGCAACACCAGTACTCCAAAGGGTAAGATGATGAACTCTAGAACACATTATCCCTGGGATTGTATGACACTTGCTCCTGTGAAAATTGCTCTGCATAATTTCCTACACTAACCAAATTACTTACTTACAATTATGCAATTGGAATCATACCATTCCCAAATGAGTGCGCATAAAAAATGGGGCATACTGCCCAAAATGGGTATAAAGCGATGATTATTTAATCTTGTAGAGTCAAATAAAAAGAAATATAAAAAAAGGTCATATTTCTGAAAAATGAAAAAGGATTGAAAATTCTGAAAATTAAAGAGGGTTCGTATATCTGAAAATAAAAAAAGCACATGATTGCAAAAATGGCAACAAGTTCTGTGTCATTTTTCGGAAATTACAAACCCTTTGGACTAACGAGTCTTATTTCCTTTTTGTGTGTAACAAACCTTTGGAGTAATGAAACCTATTTCACTTTCGGAATTACAAACATAACTAACCATCAGAATAACATAACAAATGTTCAGAATGATGAACCTGTGGATAAATCTTCAGAAACATAAGGGCCTCCAAAAGTTTGAACAATCGTTTCTATTGATAATTGTTCTAGATCTCAGCAGAGTTCTATCAGAATGAATTGTCTCCCAAGAAGGCCCTGGTCTTCTATCTCTTGGACCATGGAGCAAAGCCGGACATCAAGGATAACCAAGGCAACCTACCAGTCCACTATGCCAAGGATGAAATCACTCGCCAGATGATTTTCTCAAGGTGGGGGAAGGATTATATTAACATGGGCATTTAGAACAAATGTAGAAATGGTGTAGCAGTCGATTGGTCTAAGTTGTAACTGGTAAAGTGCTTCTTAAAATAAAGTTATTATTATTTTAAAAGACAAATATATATTATTGAAATTGCTTTCCTAAATTTGGATTTAGATTTCCAGCTTAGTTATATATATGATTTCTACCAGGTTATGAAATTAAATTATGTGGATGAAATAGGGTAAATTTTACCTTGGACTGATCCAACAAAAACTGTTCAAATTTAATTAAAATATTATGAATTGTAGTATATGAAGAGTAATACTTGACTGTTCAGTAACTTCATTAGATGATTTGTAGAATTTTGGCCAGTTGAAGTATTAATTGTGATGAATCCTGTTGAAAATTCTCATGCTTACTTTCTGTAGATAGGAGAGTCTTTATTTTCAAAAAAAGTGTGTGAAAAATTGCATTTGAAAGCTATCATTTCCATCAATCATTACATCGCATTTTGTCCTGACTATATGTCTTAAATGTTAGTATTGCTGCTGATTGTATAAATTAGTTATAAGATATAATTGTAAAACTGTGCAAAAAACCTTGAGATGGACACTGGATATGTGTACATGAAAGTATGCGTTCATTATTCATTTATGCACAAACAGTATTAACTGTAGTACCCAAGTAGAAGTATTCTTTTAAAGGGCAAACAAAAAGTAGTCATTTATGAAGCACCTTCATTACTTAAGCAATGATTATTCTTAAAAGCAGAAAGTAGGACCTCTCCATGGGTAAAGGATCTGTGGATATTTGATCAAATACCTTTTGCTTGCCCAAGTATATCCTGAAGGTTGAAACAATATGTTAATATCACTTTTCTTTTCTTTGTTGTCATTCGCATAAATTCTCAGGTCTCCTGCCATGGACATCATCAGAGCTGATCGAGGTAACACTCTGTGTTAAATAAATAATTTAACATACATTATCATAAACAAATAATGATAAATAGATGATTAATAAGGTTTTCATTTTTATTGACATGGGTGCATTGTAAAAACAAGAACAGAACAAGAAAACTTTAGGCAATCGCCAAATTCACATTCAGAAATACAAATTTCATATTTAAAAGAGAGAAATGATAGACGCGGTGATCAGTTTTATTGTTTAACTAAATGTCCATAATGCATAGGGGGCACTTTTTAATTTTGTTGGAGCCACGTAAGAGAAGGTTGAGTTTTGGTGAAAATAAAGAATAAGTTGTGAGCTTTCGCATTCTTTGAATGTCATTTTGGAGGATTAGATATATTTGAAATATCCTCTTTTTGATTACAATATATGTATAATACATATTAATGATTTTGGTATGCAGGGTTTAACGTTATAAGTAAAGATGAAAAGTATTCCGCTTTTTGGTACATTAATCTCTTTTGATTTTGTAACTCCAGATATAAATATTTTCATGCATTTTGATACGCGCTGAACATAAATTACAGAAAAGGGAAATGTGTACAAATGAGGGACATAACGTAAGAGTATTTTGAAGGAATATGAGGGTCCATGCGTGGGATTTAATGGCTCGTAGCCTTTTCATCTTCTAGTGTGTCAGATCGTCTTTTGCAATGAAATCCCTCGTTCTTTCCCTCTATTTTTAAACTTGCATTAAAAAAATAATTTCCATATTGTTCAATAATTGTTTTTATCTAAAAGAATTAGCGTCCCTGCCGACTGCAAATACACACGCAAAAATCGCACTCTTTTCCCGCACGCCCACCCCCTCCCTCAACAAAAACAAGAAAAGAGAAGAAAAAGACAACCCAGAAAGATATCAACAGGCGGCTATTATGGGTGTGTGGGTGTGTGTGTGTGTGTGAAAGGGTGAGAGGACTCGTGCAAAAAAAAAGAAGAAGATGTTTGTGTTATTTTCAATGGTCCGAGGGGTAATTGTTCTATCATCCAGGAGGTATTTGTCATAGGGGGTAATTGTAACAATTACAATATATGTATAATACATATTAATGATTTTGGTATGCAGGGTTTAACGTTATAAGTAAAGATGAAAAGTATTCCGCTTTTTGGTACATTTATCTCTTTTGATTTTGTAACTCCAGATATAAATATTTTCATGCATTTTGATACGCGCTGAACATAAATTACAGAAAAGGGAAATGTGTACAAATGAGGGACATAACGTAAGAGTATTTTGAAGGAATATGAGGGTCCATGCGTGGGATTTAATGGCTCGTAGCCTTTTCATCTTCTAGTGTGTCAGATCGTCTTTTGCAATGAAATCCCTCGTTCTTTCCCTCTATTTTTAAACTTGCATTAAAATAATAATTTCCATATTGTTCAATAATTGTTTTTATCTAAAAGAATTAGCGTCCCTGCCGACTGCAAATACACACGCAAAAATCACACTCTTTTCCCGCACGCCCACCCCCCTCCCTCAACAAAAACAAGAAAAGAGAAGAAAAAGAAAACCCAGAAAGATATCAACAGGCGGCTATTATGGGTGTGTGGGTGTGTGTGTGTGTGTGAAAGGGTGAGAGGACTCGTGCAAAAAAAAAGAAGAAGATGTTTGTGTTATTTTCAATGGTCCGAGGGGTAATTGTTCTATCATCCAGGAGGTATTTGTCATAGGGGGTAATTGTAATCATAAGGTATAATAATTGTCTTTGAGGTAATTGGCCCTTGCGACAAATGTCTTAATGGGGTAATTATCATGGGTTGAATGTCCAGGGGTGTTTTTGGTCCCAAATCGGGTCATATTGCTCCGATTATCTCATTTTCGCTCGATGGATCACTGCAGCACAAACATCCACTTTTTTAACATGCTGGATTCAACCTTTATAGTGTTGGATCCAGCATGTTTAAAGTGTTAATGTACCATTTTGATAAAGTTGTCACTCCTCAGCCCTTTTAAATGGTGATTTAACATTTCAGTTTGTAGAGTGTACCAAACTAGCCAATCAGCTGTCAATGACGTCATATTGAATGTGGCGGCAAATATATTTTGTGAAATTATCGAGAAATTGACTATCTCTAATTGCAAACTAGTTTTATTTTTGGATGGAAATGCAGCCATTGTTATCTTAGTCTCAGAAGATTCAAGAGGTCTATTTTGTAGATAAATTTTCAATTTCTTAGAATGTTCCAATGTGTTGCAGGGTACCGCACTATGAACATGACAGACAATGAAAGCGGACAAAATATACAGTTCCTCAGGTAAACAAAGGGACATCCCTTCACTGCTATTATGTAAAAATGTGTAGAACAGGTGTCACATGCATATTCACCTGTTCTACACATTTTTACATAATAGCAGTGAAGGGATGTTCCTTTGTCTACCTGAGGAACTGTATATTTTGTCCGCTTTCATTGTCTGTCATGTTCCTAGTGCCGGGTGTATGCCATTGGGTGTGATGTGTTCGCGCGCAATGCCGCGAATTATACATTCTTCTTCTTCTTCGCTATAAGTACAGGCCACCGCGCCGTCGGGTGTGAACATTCCTTTCCTTCTCAATACAATAACTTTCACCTGCCTAAGTTATTTAAACCATAAGGAATCGTGGCGTCTCGCCACTTCCATTACGTAATCATTAAAAGGATCCGCATAATTATACAACATTTTCCTGCTATACGTTGTACCGCAGGGAAATACAAATCTCCCTGGTATGCCTTACAGTCCAAACGATAAATATGTGCCTTAAACGAAGCAGGCGACAATCGGCGTAGCAGACGACACTTCATAGTAATTTTATATGTGAGATTGCTTTGCTAAATATAAACTAATTTGTTAATAAATATCAACTAAAATTTCTTTTACATATCTTTAAACCATCATTGATATTTAATAATTCATGAGTGAGTAAAAGAAACATACCAAACTATAAAATGATATGAAATACTTGGTGGCAATCAGGGGAGTTTGACGTGATGACCGATTGCACCCCTCTCTTAATAACCGAATAGTCTATGGGTGTCATGAATATTCATGTTTTTGCTTACCTCGGCTAAATGTTTGCTTTTACTAAATGGAAAAATTACGATGGGGGGTTGGATGAAATGGACATAATGAACATAGCAGAAGTGATAATTGATAATTCATGCTTCTTATCCTTCGTGTGCTTGACCTATAATCTTACAATCGCTTGGCAGACTGAGTCCAAAGTTCGACTTGTTTCACATGTGTATTATAGGCAATGGCGAGCTTGCAACCTATTTAAAAAAATTACGGTGGGTGAACTTTCAAAAGTCAATGAGACATGAGGGCTCCAATGAAAGAGCTAATGATAACGTACGTCGGGGTGGATGTGCTTTTCGTTTAAACAAAAAATGAATTGTTAACGATTTAAAAAAAGAACGTCCTTAGGCTAACATGTTAGGCTACTTACTCTGACGATAGGGGGCGTTGTGAAATGAGACTAAACGGAGCAATATGTATTGTTTTAAGGGGGTTATTGTCCTGGGATGATAGTACATTTGGTGATTGTCCCATGGGGTTATTTTCCAGGGGGAAATTGTCGTAGGGTGTAATTTTCGGGGGCGTAATGAGTATTACATTTATTATTGTTGCATAACGTGAAGTCGACGTATAGTTCCTCGTAAATATAAAGAACGTTGCAAAAAGAGATCACACAGGACAAAAACCTACTTCTAGGGCTTCCATTATTATATGACACTGACTCAAGTTAGAAAAATTGTGTTTTGAAAGTATTTCAAATACAGAATGCATTGAATATTCATACTACCTAAGGCAAGATCTCCTCGCATCATAACTGATACATGTATTGATAATGTTACAAATGATTTTAATCGTAGACAAATACCATTGTGAAGGCATCTTCGACCATAATGGAGGAGAGCTGCAGATCCCGTCATACGGATTCACTCTTTCCATCCCTCCCGGTGCGCTGCAAGAGGGTTCTAGTGAAACGATCACTTTAGATGTTCTCAAAGACATTCCACCTGCAATCACTCTAAGACCCGATGAGACGATTCTTACCTATGGCTTTCAGTGTCTTCCGTCAGGATTACAATTTGTATCAGAGAAACCTGTCAGATTGAAGATTCCTCATTGTGCCAACCTCATTGATCCGACAAAAGTGCTGGTCGTTATGTACTTCTGGAATCACGGTAAAGCAATGTGGTCAAGAAACAGAAAGTTCATTAACATGTCAATATCAGAAGAAGAAGAAAAAAACATTTTGTAGTAGTTATAATACCACATACCCTCCAACTAAATGGAGAGCTTTCTAGCCAGTCGCCATTTTATAGGCATGTAATTTCTAATCATCCAAAACTGAAAGCATCCGAGCAAATACCCGTCTAACAACTGAGTGGGGTAAAGGATCGTAGAAAGACAGAATGTGATAATTCGTCTAGGATCTAGAACAGGGTGAATATTTACAGTAGTAGTTAATATAATAATAATAATGATACTGATGTTTATAATAATACTACTTCTACTAGTACTACTACTACTAATACTAATAATGATAATAATAACAATTTTACTTACGCAGGAATCATCAGCATCAATGCTACTCATTCTTATGACCCTACGATTATTATTACCCCAGCAATAATTGCAAGGTACCAATTTAAATCTTGGTAGCGAGTGGCAAATCACTACAACTTTGACTTCCACTAAATCATCAAAGAGGTTCATCTGATCGGTGATGTAGCTTGAAAATTCCGTCTTTCTTCACAAACAGTGGAAATAAATACAAAGGGCTGAAGAAGCTCGTAGCTCAGCGAGTGAAAGCTTACCAAGATCAGGTAATGTTTCCAATGATATTGAAGAAAGAACTAAATGTAATCATATTACGAGAACCACACAAACAATTACTACAACCTTAACAACAACTACGACTAATAATAATTTTGTGTGCAATTCATTTCATTTTTTATTTACAGAAGGAGAAGCTGATCGCATTGTACAAACTTCAGGAACCTGTCTGGTTACATGCAACCATGTGGAGATTTCACTGGAGCACTTTACAATAGGACTTCCGGCCTTCATTACAAATCTGTTCTACATGAAAAGCAAACGAATGTCCTTCATGCCTTTTCTTCCAAAGATTATGCCACAGTGTAGAGAAATGCCGCTCGAGTTTCGTATGGCCAACAAACCTCATGGAAACTCTTGGGTATGGCATAAATATCTGTCATATAAAGTAATCTCAATTAAATATCCACTATTTTTTTCATTAAAACACACATACATTAATGCTCACCAATTGCCCACTAAGTGAATAGTGATGTTTTGATAGGATCGGCTTCATTTTCATTAACATGAAAGACGTAAAACTAAATCCATGCTGTTTGTCAAGACTACAAATTCAAGGGATTCAAATCCTCTTCAAAAGTTATGTTTTGCATGGTCATATGTGTAATATTCTTTAACTTTGCGCTTTCACTATATGTAGGTAGTCCATAAAAGAATGGTGAGCTTGACCAGGCTAATAATGAGAGGAGCGTCATGGCCTGGTTCATCCAGCTTACCTGCACTCACTAAATACTACCTCTCTTACCTTTCTCGGCCTCTCTCCTAACAATAGCAAGTAGTCCTCTAAAGGACTACCGAAAGAACACGCTCACTTTACTTACTATTCTATCCCATTTGAAACCCAACATGGCTAAGAAGGTAAACTTATGGAATGTTAAAAGTATTCATATTGAATTCACTGTGGGCCTAGTGAATGATAAATTCTTCTGGAAGTTGTGTGTCAATACCTCTATAAATGATTCAAAGTGTTGCCGTTATACCCTCCTTCAAAGCTAAAAACTATTTAGAAAAATATGTTTTGTGCCAGTTTGAACTATGATACATGCAACTTTTGTGTATTCTCAAGTCTGAAAGTTGTATAAATAAACATCGTCTTGTCACCTAACCTTGTCACAGAGAGATGTTCATGAAATCGGAGAGAAAGCAGAGTATCAACCCGCTAAAGATGATGATGATGAGATGAATGTCAAATGTGAAGATATGGAAATCACTTGCCAACTGAATGATAATGACACATGTAGAAAGGTAAGAATCCCCCACCTCCCCCTTCCCTTATTAGATGTTGTGGCTCTTGGGTTCAAACTGGTCTCGGATGTATGATCGTTATCTTAAGTATAATGAATCGGTTTATTCGTTATTCCTTACACACCACGTATCTTATTGTATATTATTTTTCATATATTACCTAGTAAGATGTCAATTAAGACTGGTTCTGATATGAAAGACCATCCCTGTAATCTGGGAGAATCCAGCATTTCATTAGACCATCTTGCTCCGGTTGTCTGATTTTCGCCATCACAAACGTAGCTAGTTCGCCGTCTATAGAACGTATATAGCAGACGGCAAAATGCGGATCAGACGACACTTGATAGTAACTTTGTATGTGAGATTGCTTTGCTAAATATAAGATATAAGAACCTTTTCCATATCTTTAAACTATCATTGATATCTGATAATTTAACAGTTAGTAAAATAAACCTACCAAACTACATACTACAATGAAATACTTGACTGAAAGTAGGGGAGATTGATGTGGTGCACAATTGCACCCCTCTGTTAATAATCGAATAGTCCATGGTGTGTCATGAATATTCATGTTTTTGCTTACCTCGGCAAAATGTTTGCCTATACTAAATGGAAAAAATTACGGTGGGGGGGGGGGGGGGCTGGCTGAAGTGGATATAATGAACCAAGCAGAACTGATCTATGATAATTCATGCTTCTTAACCTCCGTGTGCTTGACCTATAATCTTACAATCGCGTGGTAAATTGCGTCCTATTTCGACTTGTTACACATGCGTTATATATGCAATGGCGAGCTTGCGACCTATTTTGATCAAATTACGGTGGGTGAATTTCCAAAAGTCAATGGGACATGAGGGTCCCAATGAAAGAGCTAGTGATAACGTACGTCGGGGTGGATATGCTTTTCGTTTTAACAAAAAAAAATGAATTTTTAACGATTTTTCTTTTGTGTAAAAGTCCATAGGCTAACATGTTTATAGGCTGCTGGACTCTGGCGATAGGGGTGGTTGTCAAATGAGACTAAACAGAGCTATATGCAACTTAAAGACATTACTAGGTAACATATTTCTAGAGAGATACAGTTAGTACGGCGGCGTAGCGTCGTAACATTGTACTTTTATATAAAGACGCCGAATGAGCAAGTTACTAAATAGTACATACTGAGCAATATTAGTTATGGAAGAACTTAAAAAACAGGTTTATCGGGTAGGAATTTGCAATCGTAAACTTGCCCAAATAAAATAAAACAATCGGTCACGCTTAAATTCAGACCCAACCGTTACGCAATGATTCTCATCTTGTTCATGTTATTAGCAAAGTAGGTGAAAACCCAACACAATTAAGTTTCATTAGATTGTTCACAAGATCTATTTGCAGTAGCTAGACGACTTAGTTTGCGTTAAGAAAACAAATTCGGGTTATAATTAGCGTAAAATTATAGCTTAAATCCTGAAAAGCCGGCAAGTTTAATACATGAAGGCGTTCGGAATAATGTGTCACAATTATATTACACCTCCCACATGGACAGGCACTTGATCCTTGAACCTGAGAAAAATGGGAGGGGATAATAATTGATAAAGAAGTGCGGGAAAAAAATAATTTGTTTATTAAACCATATAAAAGCAATTGTAGCATAAAAAGAAGAAGAAGGAGAGCCCAATAGGAGAACATTACCTGGAGATTGGCTTAGTTCAAGTTTTAAGAGGCGCCCAGCTCCCATCCCTCGTTAAATTTCAGACTAAACAAATTTTTTTAAAGCCACACAAATGATGGATATTTTCCGCTTTGGCCGCACTAGCTGCGACCTTGCAAATTCTTTTGCAAGGTGACCGTTGATGTACAGTCATCTTGAAAGTGCTTTCATACTTTCGTATCAACTCATCAGAGTTTATTCGACACCATGATCATGTAACGTTAATTTACCTACAAAGTAACGTAAAGATCATACGAAATTACATTATCAGAATCATAATTATGGGCTCATTAAATTTTGGGTTACTAATTTAATAGACTCTAGGACTGGTTAAATATTCATATTCAGGAAATCTAGGAATCAAGTTTACAAATGCAGAGGCATAGATACAGGAGGGGACACATAACCCCCTCCACCGATTCTTGCTAAATGAATATATATAATTTTTTTTTTTTTTTTTTTTAAGGCAACGTGAAAGGATGATTCCCCACCAGATCATTCTCTCGCATTTCAGGTAAACCCGCTCCCTACCCGCCAATACAAGTTCTCCATCAGTTTCAATCGGTTCTAACGAAATTTATAAAATTGCAATTACTAAGCCCACTCGACCATAACAGACTCGCTTTAAAATACCGTGCCCCATGACATGTTCTGAAACACCTTTCCACTGACCTCTACGGTCGCTTACGTAGCGGTAGGGTCCGGATTTTTATTAAGATGAGATTTTACTCGCCGAGTTGACCATGCATAATTTAACTATTTCATGAAGAATTACCACATAACACAGATTCTGAAAGTCTTTCCATATCTGATACTGACCAGTGTGGGTTATTTTAGACAAAAGTGCACAAATTTTTAGCTATGCCGCTGTACGAAGATGTAAAATGTATGTCAACATCTGGCAACATTGAAAGGCTGTGGGATTGATTTACTGAAAAGCCTTGATTCTTTGATATAGAAGGTTCCGAGCCGCAAAGGTAGACAGAAGCAAAATGTTAAAGTATTGTGATGCGCAGATAATTTGATGAATCAATGAGCATAAGAAGTAAATATTCAATTGTAGTATGATGAAGTATATCTAAATTTTAACATTTCCAAGCCTCAACGTTGATAGCTTATTGAAATACCAGATTTGAAAGTGTCACATACGTAGGCTATGTTATGTTCAGTTCGAGTCCCTTTCCGATTTACTATGGTTACAGTATTTCATATAGCTCTATCCTGAACGATTATTCTATCAAATGAAACATGTACCATAAACGCCCGCACTTTCCGAATCCAAATATTTTTCATTTTAATTTTGTATTTTTTAGGCTTGATATGTTTGCTTGTACTCGTTTATCCAAATTGTGTGCATTTTCTTTGTCACAACATTTAGGTCCGCGAAAACTACTTACCATTATTATAAAAGTATTTCACGCTCCGGTATATACAAACAACGAAATCTATGAACTGACAAATTCAAAATTCAACATTCAGGCTGCAGGCTGAGTTGTACATTCATGTTGCCTTTGTGTTAGATGCTTGAAGCTAAGAGATTGCAAACAACGGCGATGTTATTTATAACAAGTAACCTGTACGACGAGCTAACATGATGTTAGAACTACTCTATAAAGCAGACTATCTAAATATCCTTTCCTTATGAAAAAGAGAACTAGTTGATTGTTTTCACCACCTTCAAGGAGACAAATATATCTATGATCATACCCTCCATACTACCACCACCTTGTATTCTATATAGAACATGCATTTAATGTTATCTTTACTTGTTCATCGTATGTAATAACCTCATGTGTACTCCCCTACAAATGTATTCAAAGTATGCTAATCCTCTTTTCCTTTATATTGTGCTAATATGAACACTTAATCATATCCAATGATAGAATGTCGATGCAAGCTTCATCGAAAAGAGGAAGCATACTGTCTACTTCAAATTGGACTTTATCGGGAAAGCAGATGATCTGCTGGTGAATCTGGAAGTGATACAGTCTAAGCTTCCAATGGAAATAATGTTCAAGACCAATTTCCTTGCCTCTCGTGAGTTAAAAAAGAAAATTAGCTTATCTGTTTCGTTTGAATTGTTTCACTTTGACTAAAAGCGGCAACCATTACTACATCAACCATGCTAAAAACAAAAAAGTTTTGAAATTTAAAAACACTTGGTTACCTCCTAGTAAAGAATAAAGGAAAAATTCGTTGTCACTGACGGATGATTTTTATGTTAACTAGCTGAAAATGACATTTAAATTCAGCTGCAAATATTGATGAGGGAAGTTGATTTATTTGTCACATCGATCGAATTCTAAACTCCATTTTCCATTATAAGTGTGAAAACTCTTTGTCATGAACGGACATTATGAGTGTCATGGGCAGACATGAACTTTAACAAAAGAACCTGTTAATTTCGTCTTTAAGATAAAAACACACCCTCTGCAGCCTTTACACTTCTTCTTTAGCATGTATTTTGTTCTTACTATTTCCATCCCTCTCCTCTTCTAAGAAAGACTCTGAATTTAGATGTAAGGAATTTGCTTACGTCGGGTTTTTCATATTCAAACTTAATCTCACCAACATACATAGCATGTTGATCATTAGCAGATTTGATACAATAGTAATAAAATGAGGTAACAAGATTTAATCAATGAAAAATTAATATTTGTGTGATCGAATCTTAATTCAATTTACAATGTGACATAATTCTACAACAAATTACATGAATGTAAAGAACACGTGTTTTTACGAGGTTCAGACAATTTCCCACTTTTAACATCAGCAACAGCCAAGACATCACTCGGAAACACAGTTTCCGCTTCCTCGTTATCCTTGGTTTCCACATCAGTCACCATTCCTCATCCAGATGAATCAGCAGTAGCCGATGAAGTTTCCACTTTTCAAACCAGGTTAGATTCCTTTCCTAAACGCTAAATGGTTAAATAATGGCTTTTAGATTATTCTTGATTAAAATCTTATTGATAGGATAGACCGAAACTTAGTATTTATATATATATAAATGACTACTACTAATAATACAAAATAATTCATCAATAACTATTTTTTCATAATACTTGATGCATCCAGACATTTAGTAGTCAAAGAGCTCATTGCAGCTATGAAGCATTTGATATTCTCAATGCTTGGAGGATGAATGTTCAAAACGACTTGACAGCTTACAGAGGGGTATCTACCCAAAACGTAACGATAATTGAAATATAAATTGACGAAGTCTCACATGACAACGCAATGGAATTGGCAAACCACTTTCAACTCATGTAAAGTAAAGGTGCTCACGAACATTTTAACAATACGA